TCAAAGTCCAGGTTCGATAGCACATAGCACACAGCATGGGTGGTGTCGGCCTATCCGTCGGCGACACGGCGCAGGAAAAGCGACAGCAGATGCCACCTTCAGGGGGACATGCTCAAGCAACCACCAACATCGAAGTACTGCAGACCGGCTTGAGAAAGGGAAAAAGACAGCTAAAAGACAGAAAAACAATTTCACGTAGCTGCTCAAGGACCTCGTGCGTTGCTGTTCGTTGTTCACATGTGTATAACATCCTCCTCCCTTGGCGAGGAGGCATTTACTCAATATTTATCAAGCCAGCAAGATCCCTACAGGACGCACACACCCACACACGCACACATACACACGCGCACATATACACCCACACACACACAAACGAATTCTTCAAGGAGGGAGCCCCCCCGGGACCCTCTCTCGCCTTTCCCCCTCTCCCACAATCCCCTTGCCTGGAACCCAACAACATCCAACTAGCAGTTGACAGTTGGCGGTTTCCGCTGTCATTTTATAAAACCCTAAGTCCCAACACCAAGAACAACACTGACCCAAACCCGCCTCAGCCCCGGGATTCAGTTTACTTGAACAACAGAAAACAGGGGGCAACGCCCTCAGCAGAACGACCTATCAGCGCATATATACAGAGACAGACAGACAGACAGACAGACAGATCAGGCAGATAGACGCACCTGCACTACAGGCAATCCTAGGATAGCAGCTATTATCGGAGACTGAGCTTGTCTGTGTTGGAAGGATTGTTGAGATGATGCGCGCAGTCATTGCCACCACGGGTGTTCGCAGCCCCCGCCGCCCCCGCCGCCGCCGCCGCCGCTCCAGTCGGCTGCTGCTGCTGCTGCTGCTGCCGCCGCCACTCCTGGAACAACTGCCATTCCGCCGGGGTCACACCTGACGGCGGCGGCGCCGCCGCCGATGCCGCTACCGCTACCGGTAATGCCGCCGCGTTGCCGTGGTCAGAGGGCCGCTGCGACACGTTGCCGCTGCGTGGCGATGCTAACGAGGCAATGGTGGCGGCGTAATCCTGCTTCGGAACCCCACCTCCGCTGTTGCTGCTGCTGCTTGACCGGAACCTTACCGTCCGGTCCAGGAGTCCGTGTGGAAGGCCGAGGATGCGGAGGTTGCGGCGGCCAGCCGGGTTGATGATGGCATCGTGCAGCGGCGGCACGGCCGCGATCACCGGCTGGCGCCGCCGCCGCCGCCGCCGCCGCCGCCGGCTGCCGCCAATCCGAATGCGAGTTCCTAATCCTGACGTCTCGGACGCCCCAACCGCCGGCCGGCTCGTGTGTCTGCCGCATGACGGCGTCGTAGCGCGCACCGGCATCCGTTTCGTGATCTTGTGACCCGGGCTTCGGCTTTTCTTTCTACCCATGCGACCGCATCAGCCGCTTGCAGCGGCGCCGGTTGCGGCGGCGGTTG